CAGCAGCCCTTAGTCTCTCCAGGCCCGTCCAGGGTAGCTGAATCAAAGTGTGCACAGAGACTTTGGCCTTACGAGAAGTTGATGTTGGTTCGAGCACAGAATTGGTTGGGAGGACATGCCATTGGATCTCCAAGTGCTGTGCCGGCAACCTTTTCCAGGATCGTTCCTCCCTTAGCTAACGCTTACCCAATGTTTCCATACAATGTTACAATTACTGGTGTCCAGCTCACACACGTGCTATTTGGATCCACCCAGTCTGAGATTGTTTGCAAAGCCTGCACGAACTGGTTCCATGCTTGCTGGTACTGTGTTTTTCCCAGGTCAGCTTTTAGTTCTTTCCAAGCTTCATAGGTCCTGGTCCATACGAGGTTCACAATTTCTTGCTGTGCTTGTTGGAGCCCGAAGTTGTTTTCTTTCTTTTTTCGCGTGMACATCTTGCCCTCCAGATCGTCATARTGAGTGCTAGTCTCAAGTAGTCAACCAGATTGATTGCAAATGGGTTCCATTGCTGAGATTTATATTTTTCTATGGCCTAATAGAACTGTTGCTGCATCCCAGGGGCCAGGGGTGAATGCCAGGCTGTGTCCCACCACCGCCATATATGTACTGCTATGGGGCACACATCCCAGAGTCGACCCAGACTGGACCCTGAACCTGCTACCTTCTTCCCCGAATACAACATACGGTCATTATAGCTGTGTTTGGGGTATGTTTCAGTCTAAATACAGCTATAATGACCATCCGTTGTATTCGGGGGAAGAAGGTAGCTGGCCACCAAACTGTTGCTACATCCCAGGGTAAATGCCAGGCTGCGTCCCATAACCGCAATATCTGTACTGCCATGGGGCACACATCCCAGAGTCGACCCAGACTGGACCCTGAACCTGCTACCTTCTTCCCCGAATACAACATACGGTCATTATAGCTGTGTTTGGGGTATGTTTCAGTCTAAATACAGCTATAATGACCATCCGTTGTATTCGGGGGAAGAAGGTAGCTGGCCACCAAACTGTTGCTACATCCCAGGGTAAATGCCAGGCTGCGTCCCATAACCGCAATATCTGTACTGCCATGGGGCACACATCCCAGAGTCGACCCAGACTGGACCCTGAACCTGCTACCTTCTTCCCCGAATACAACATACGGTCATTATAGCTGTGTTTGGGGTATGTTTCAGTCTAAATACAGCTATAATGACCATCCGTTGTATTCGGGGGAAGAAGGTAGCTGGCCACCAAACTGTTGCTACATCCCAGGGTAAATGCCAGGCTGCGTCCCATAACCGCAATATCTGTACTGCCATGGGGCACACATCCCAGACCCGACCCACGCTGGACCCTGAACCTGCAAACCGGCCACCGCCAGCCCTGACCTTCTCACCCCCCCAACTCACCTCTATCTCTCCTACTGACCCTCTACGCGAAGTGCCGGCTCCGCGTGGAACTCGCTTCATGCGCTACAGCAAAAGCATATGAGAGACACACTATAGACACTTCAGGAG